CTGCTGAAGGACAGTTCGTATTTAACTCAGAGGTATTACAAAAGTAAAAGGCACAGGACGCCTGTCCAGGGTTAAGATTATACTCATGCTTCCCTCTCTAACATACGAGTGCCACTGTCTGTGCAACAGACTCTAAACTTGTCTGTGAATACAGCAGTGCCCTGAACGATCAAATTCCATTTTATTTCAGGTATGGAAAAATTCGTCATTGGAGTCCAAGAATTACTTTTTTACTAGATAATATGTGAAATTTCTCCTTAAAATTACTACCCTCTAGATTAACAAGCTCCAGCACAGAAACTTTCCTGTGTAATAAGACTAGTGACGACCGTCACAAGTCTCTCGGAGATCATCTGAAATGTTCATGTGGAAGGCACCCAGAAAACTGCTGGGGTGCTCAGCTGAAGTGTGAGAGATGGGAACACTTCATTTAAAAAAGCCATGTCAGATTTTTGTGCAATTTCTGAGGCTCACTGATTGGGAATCGGGTAACTGATTTGAACAAGGCTAAGAAACACAATTTGAATGTTTCATTTTTTAAAAAAGCATTATGGCATTTTGAAGTAATAGCTGCAAAATAGACAGCTAATACAGTGTACATAAGGGAGAGACGTGATGAAAAAGACATTTTACCTGCACTCAGTATGTGCTCTGGTGAGTAAAGTAACTGACCAAACTGATCCTAAAAGTACACTGTGTACACCATTTAATACCTCCCTTCAAGCATCTCTCAAGACGGACCTTTTTTTATAGCTATGTCACACAAAATTTCCCCTGATCTTAGTTATTCAAATACATTTTTTATGCTCTGAACACACTGCTTTCAACAGCAGAGTAATAGCTAAAAGCAGTACCTATTTGAAATACACTCCAAGTTCTCTATCTAGACGACACACGGGGGACAGAGCTTGCTCCTGAGGGAGCACGAGCTGCTCTTGGCACCTGCATCGCGCTGTGCTTCCAGCTCCGAACCTCCCCTGGCAGAAGACGACAGCTTTGCAGGGATGTTTCAGCGCTTTCATGGCCAGGGCAGCACCCGCCTGACACAACATGCGCCTTCGCTGCCTGGCCATGCTCCAGAAAGGCCTCTTCAGCCCTTCTCGACCTCAAAGGTTTATCACATTGGATCTGTTTTCAAAAATCATGAGGACAGACTGAAGTCCAACAATTAGACTACAGCCAGAAACAGATAAATGAAAGCACCAGCGTCCAGCATTTTGGCTGACGGATCTCTCCTGACAGGAGCGTGGGAGACCTAAGTGCCCTTTCCAAGGATGCCTGGCTTGGGAAGAAACCCAAACCCTCAGGCTGGCCACACTCCAAATGCGTGAGCTCATGACTTCACCATGTACAAACAGGTTCCTAAAGGGACATGGATGATGAAAATACTCCGCAGGAACTTTATTTCAGTCTCGACAGCACAGAAAGTCCCTGCTCACATCAATAAACAACCACCACCTTCCAACCGATGAGATAAGCAACAGGCTATTTCTGCACCCTCTCCCGGTGCCGGAGAAACACAATGATGGCCAAGGCGCCGCCAGAATCTTCCTTCCGTGATGACTCAGCCCCAGCAGGCAGCGCAGTGCCCCGGGGCCGGCACGTGCTGCCAGCAGGCGGGCAGGGCAGTGCAGCCTGCCCCAGCCTCGCCGAGGCGCCGCCAGGCTAGTCCGGCACCCTGCAGCACCAGGGCGGGAGAACTGGAGCGACTGCACCAGCAAGTCCCTGCCCCAAAGCCAGCTGGTGAACTGGTAGCTACGTGGGTTGACAGGCAAGATCTGGAAGCAAGGAGAGGGAGGGAGGAGATTGAGGAGGTCACGGAAAACCTGCGAGGGGAGCCGTGGCCGATAAGCAGAAACTGCAAGAACACGCAAGGAAAAAAGATCAGAACCTGCAAAAAAGTAGAACGTCTAAGAAAGAGGAAATGGACAAAGATCAGGTGAGAAATTTCATGGCACATGCTTTGTTCCAGCTTCCAGGTGCAACACCAACACTCAGTGTTGCCCTGTGAGCAAAAGCTTCTCCAAAACAGTTTTTTTAAGCTCTAACTGAACTCCGTGCTTGTTTTTGAAAGCTTCCCAGAAATAAAGCAATGAGGTATTTATAGCTTTTAAAACCAGTTATGATTAATCTGAATCCCCAGCCCCCCAGCTTCGAACCACAACCTCCACTCCTATCTTTTAATTTTTTTCTGAAGAGAGCTGAGGAACCAGAGGGGTTCCTAGCCGGAGGAACAGGTACCAGCCCTCTCTGCTTTCAGACAGATCCCATTACCTTCTGGTTCTCAGGGTGATGTTGGCTTTCAACTTCATGATGTTTTAAAATGCAGAAGCTATCAAACAAGCTAGGTTTATACAGTAAGGTATTATTCTCACTGTGATTAACCCACGAGTTCCTTGCGGATCGTGCAGTTACCTGCTCACCTCTGAAAGCCTGCAGAGACAAGGGCATGTAGTGTTGTTTGACTGGTCCTCTTTAAAGGTCACACCTTTAATTAATTTGCATCAATGTTCCAAATGACAGGTCTAAATTACTATCTTTTAAAGCATTTATAAACCAAATACAGATTCTCCCAGAAGCTGTTCACTCCAGGCTGCCTTGGTCAGCGGTCAGGTTCCGGGCTCACCTCAGGGGAGCACTCAGCCAAGGCTAACACCACACGACAGAGATGACGTCATACTGCACTAGCATGAGGACCTACGTGAATCTTGCTAAGTCGTTTCAGCAACCAGCCAGTTTAGCTAACGACATACATCAGTCCCCAAGGTCTCCCATTGTACTTTCAGGCCATTCCTTCAGCTGTACTGTGCCCGCATATAGCATCCCACCATGAATGGCTGCTGCTGTATGCATGAAACAACAACCTACACAGCAACAGACAACGGGACCCCTCTCTACTGGGGAGCGGAAGATCAAACACCGCATCACTTTGTTACGGGACTTTGTGACAATGAGGCACTAGGAACCAAAGTTGCTGTGCTGGGCAGTGGTTTCAGCCAAATCGCTGATTGCTGCAAAGCAGGACTAGGAAGTGGTGCTGGTCTGGCTTTATCTATGCAACCTTCGCAAAGCACACAGAACGCCTGCTGTCTCTACAAGATCCCGGCAGGCTAAGCCTTTTCAAATGTTTTTCCAGTGATGTGGCACCAGCATGTCTGAAGAGCTGTGGGGCAACTCCACGTTGTACTGTGCAAACTGACGCAGCTGATTGCTGCAAAGCAGGACTAGGAAGTGGTGCTGGTCTGGCTTTATCTATGCAACCTTCGCAAAGCACACAGAACGCCTGCTGTCTCTACAAGATCCCGGCAGGCTAAGCCTTTTCAAATGTTTTTCCAGTGATGTGGCACCAGCATGTCTGAAGAGCTGTGGGGCAACTCCACGTTGTACTGTGCAAACTGACGCAGCGAGCGGCGCACGGTACTTCAGGAAGCCTGTCCCCACAGCCAGCAGCTCTCCCGGGTTGTGCTTCGCTGCCCGCCCGAAGTGACCAAGGCCGTAAGCAACCTTGTTACAAAAAGCCTGCTGTCCCCCATCAGAACGAGGAGCTGGGCCTCTCTGCATTTGTTATTTGAAGTTTAAAAAGCGCGCTTTAAAGGGCAGCTGGTGACTCTTCCCTCCGGAGCCTTGCAGACGAGCCCTGGCTCCCAGCATGTGACGGGAGGACACAAGGGGTTCTCCTGGACAGCATGGGGGGCAGCCTGCTGAGAGCTCTCCCACCCAGCACAGGAGGGGAAGGGAAAGCGTTCCCTCAGCACCTCTCCACGGGTTGTTCTCCCGGGGGGAGGTGGGGGTAGCCTCAGTGGTGGGGGGAGCTGGCTGCCACACCACACTGCCAGGGTGCCTCCCTGAAGCCACTGTCACCTCTCCCCTGTGACCTGATCAGGGACTGGCAGTACTGCAGCAACTCCTCCACCTTTCCGTTCCTTCCAGCGAGGGGAAGGCTGATGGAGACGTTGGTTATCCACTTCCAGAGCCAGGGGACCTCCATGACAAGAGCACTGCCAACACCCGACATTTAATTTAGCTGCATTTCACTGAACCCTGCCACTGTGGGGCTGAGCGAAGAAGGGAAGGGGATAGCCTAGTTTTGGCACATAGGCAAGATCATGTCTTTTTGGAGAGCCCTAAGAAAGCTGGATGCTTCTTTTTCTGGTAGATATGGATCTGAGCATTGGAGGAGGCAGGGTCAGGATCCTGTCCATATAGTCCCCTGTCTCTTGCCTTGACCCAAACCTTTGCAGGATTTTTGCAGGGCAAAGGACTGTCTGGATAACAGTAACTGCATCAATGTTTTGGGACATCTTTCTAAACCTCTTTGGCTTGATGTTTTAGTCTTGAGAACACTATGAAATAACTTTTTTCCTTGCTATTTCTTTCTCATACAGAAGGGGAGATGATCAGCAAGATAACGATATTTACAAAAGACAAAGCTAGGAGGGCAAAATCCTGAGAAGACCGCATCCAAATCAGGCTGCTGGGAACAGCCTGCTGAGCAGTACTACCCAGGATGCCGGTGCTCTGCAACTCCCAGTGTTTACTACTGAAACAAAGTATGAAAGTACGTACCTGTACCGCTCCTCCTGCAGAGTCTGCATTATTAATGAGTAATCCCTCTGATAGCGAACCTTAAGATCCTCAAACGATTCTTCCAGTCTTGCCTGTGTCTCTCGAATTTCTTGAATCTCATGCAGTATTGCATCAAACCCTGAGCTCTGCATATCCAGAGTGTTTGTTTTGGAGCTAGAAGCTCCCACAGGGCCCCCTGTTGTGCTGTTGGCTCCCACTGAGCCCGACGTGGCACTGGAGCAATCCTCTTCACTGCCATATTTTGGGCTTGACTGGAAGTTCTGAATGACACCTAGACCCTTGCCTCCTGTCCCATCTTCCTGGCCTTCTTCTAAGGAGTCTTTCAGATTAGCAATGTTGTCTGCACTCCCAAACTTGTTCCGTATGAGGGAGGCAATCTCCCGGGGTTTGGAAACCACAGCTCCTGCTGCTGAATGCGTGGCTTGGGAAAAACTGGAAAGCCCACCTTTTACACTGTCTACTACTCCCTCACTGAAGCCAGTGACTTTCGCTCCAACATCTTTCAAACCCTGATGCATATCCCTGAAGACATCCTTTGGCTGCCGAGGGATGCCATTCTGTTCAATCTCCCGCAGCTTTCGATGGTAATGTTCTAGTTTCTTCTGCAGCTGCAAGATGGTCTGGGCTGACTTTTGATTCTTCTTCTCAAACACTTGCTTAATGCGGGCACTCTGTTGCTTGTCTGCATTGTTGGCCAGTTTCAGATACTCTGCCACATTGTCATCACGGGCTGTTTGTTCGATTTTGATCTGCTCAGTCAACTTCAGTATCTTCTGTTGCAGGTGTGTGATAGCCACTTTTGTACGCTGAGGATCTGGGGTCCCATCAACAGAGTCTGCATTGATGCTGCCATCAGTGCTTGAGGCCACTGCACTGGAGGTCTGCGCTAGGCTGCTGACTTCCAGTCGCTCGATCTAGGCAAGGAGAGAGAGAAATATAAGCACTGATCAACAGCTTCACGAATATAAAACCTTTCCTTCCTTGTGCTAACCAACTTGACAAACAGATGCAATTCTGCAAAAACGCACTTTTTTTCACCTGGCCGGGGTACGGTATCGATAAATTGAACTTCATCTAGTACAAGCTGAGAAAAAAGCAAAACCCCTCATACTTAAGCCAATTTAATGGCCTCAAACAACTGAAATTTCAAGCACATCGCAAGACAGGGCACCCAGGTTTGGCAGGCTGAGTTCTCTGAAGTTTTGGTGTAAGGCCAGAAGCTCCATCAGCCGGCAAGTAAAACGACAGAGAAGGTAACTGTGAAACAGCAAAATCCACACAGATCCAGCACCCAGCAAACCCAAGGTATTCCTAGTGCTTCACCTGTCCGTCAGGTGGCGAGCAGTGGTGAACCTTGCCGGGAAACAAGAGATCCGCGAAGGTCTGTGCCTCAGAGGGGAACACGGGGCCGTCAGAGCTCCGGGCCGCGCCGCCAGGCTGCAGCGCCGGCTGGAAGCGACAGCCCCGCGGGCAGGGGCCTCCTCGCGGAAGGCCACAGACGGCCAGGGTCAAAGGACGAGCCCCACTTCCAGCCAAAAAAAGTTAAACG